ATCTTTTTAATGTATTGCTGGATCTGGTTTGCTAGTATTATTTTGAGTATTTTAGCATCTATGTTCATCCGAGGTGTTGGCCTTTATTTTCTTTCTTTGTTGTGTCTTTACCTGGTTTTAGGATTAAAATAATACTGGCTTCATAAAAGGAGTTTGGGAGTCTCTCTTCTTGAATTTTTTGGAATAGTTTAAGAACAATAGGTGTTAGTTCTTCTTTGAATGTTTGGTAAATTTGTCTGTGAAGCCATCTGGTCTAGGGCTTTTGTGTGCTGGGAGTTTTTTGATTACTGCTTCAATTTTGCTAGTTATTATAAGTCTTTTCAGTTTTTCTGCTTCTTCCTGATTCAGTTTTGGAAGACTGTATATTTCTAGAAAAATGTCCATTTCACCCAGGTTGTCCAATTTCTTGGCATATAATTGTTCATAGTAATTTCTTACAATCCTTTGTATCTGTGTTATCAGTTGTTACTTCCCCTTTCATTTCTGATTTTATTTATTTGAGCCCTCTCTTTTTTTTTTTTTGATTAGTTTGGTAAAGGTTTGTCAGTTTTGTTTATCTTTTCAAAGAACCAGCTCCTAGATTCATTGATCCTGTGAATTGTTTATTTTTAGTCTCTATGCCTTTTAATTCTGCTCCGATAGTGATTATTTCCTTCCTTCTACTCATTCTGGGCTTTGTTTGTTTTTGTTCTTCTCGTTCTTTTAACTGTAGGATTAGGTTGTTTATTTGAGGTTTTTCTGTGTTCTTTAGGTAGGTCGGTATTATTCTGAATTTCCCTCTCAGGACTGCTTTTGCCATGTCCCATAGGTTTTGGGTTGTTGTTTGTTCATTTTCATTTGCTTCCAGGTACTTTATGATTTTTCCCTTGATCATTATTAACACATTCATTATTTAATAACATGTTATTCAGTCTCCATGTACTTTGAATGTTTGAGTTTTTCCCTTGAGGTTGGTTTCTAGTTTCAAGCCATTGTAATCCAAGAAGATGCTTGATATGATATTCAATTTTCTTGAGTTTGTTAAGGCTTGTTTTATGTCCTACCATGTAGTCTGTTCTTTTGATTGATGTGCATTTGAGAAAAATGTATATTTTGGTTCTTTGGGGTGAAATGTTCTGTAAATATCAATTAAGTTTATTTGATCTATAGTGTCATTTAATGCCACTATATCCTTGTTGATGTTTTGTCTAGAACATCTATCTACCCATTGTTGACAATAGGGTGTTAAAACCCCCTGCAATGACTGTCAGTGGCTGTCTATCTCTTTCTAAAGTCTTCCAAAATTTTCTTTATATATTTAGATTTTCTTATATTGGGGGCATATGTTTACAACAGTTATATCCTCTTGTTGGACTACCCCCTTGAGTATCATGTAGTGACTTTCTTTTATTCTTGTTATGGCCTTTGTTTTGAAGTCCACTTTGTCTGATATAAGTATTGCTGCCCCAGCTTTTTTCTTAATGTCCATTTGCATGGAATATTTTTTTCATCTCTTTACTTTCAGTCTGTGTATATCTTTTGCTCTGAGGTGGGTCTCTTGTAGACAGCATATATGTAGGTTGCGTTTTCTTATCCATTCAGCTACCCTATGTCTTTTGATTGGAGCATTTAATCCATTTACATTTAAGTTTGCTATGGATAGATACTTATTCATTTCCATTTTTTCGTTTTTGTATCTATTCCTCCCTCTCTCTATTTCTTCTACTTAAAGCAGTACCTTTAGCTTCCTTTGAAATACTGGTTTGGTGGAGATGTACTCATTTAGCCTTTTTTTTTTAATCTGAGTAGCTCTATATTTCACCTTCCATTTTATTATTTTTTAAATTATTTTATTGTTATTCAATTACAGTTGTCTGCATTTACCCCCCCACTTCTCCTCTCCCCAGCCAAACCCACCTCCCTGCCTTGCTTCCACCCCCCTCCCCACCCCCCGCCTTGGTTTTGTCCATGGGTCCTTTATAGTTATTCCTGAAAACCCTGCCCCCCATTATCCCTTCCCACCTCTCCTCTGGTTACTGTCAGATTATTCTTAATTTCAATGTCTCTGGTTATATTTTACTTGCTTTTTTCTTTTGTTGTTTAGGTTCCTGTTAAAGGTGAGATCATATGGTATTTGTCCCTCTCCACCTGGCTTATTTTATTTAGCAGAATACTCTCCAGTTCTATCCCTGCTGTCTCACAGGGTAGGAGCTCCTTCATTCTCTCTGCTGCATAATATTCCATTGTGTAAATGCACTGTAGTTTTTTGATACACTCATTTACTGATGGGCACATAGGTTGCTTCCAGTACTTGGCTATTGTAAATTGTGCTGCTATGAACATTGAGGTGCATAGGTTCCTTTGGATTGGTGTTTCAAAGTTCTTCGGGTAAAATCCCAGCAGTGGAATTGCTGGGTGAAAAGGCATTTCCATTTTTAGTTTTCTGAGGAAATTCCATACTGTTTTCCACAATGGCTGCACCAGTCTGTATGCCCACCAACAGTGCACTAGGGTTACCTTTTTCCCACATCCTCTCCAACACTTGTTTGTTGATTTGTTTATAATGACCATTCTGACCAGTGTGAAGTGGTGTATCATTGTGGTTTTAATTGGCATTTCTCTGATGGCTAGTGATGCTGAACATCTTTTCATATGCCTCTGGGTCCTTTGTATGTCCTCCTTGGAGAAGTGTCTGTTCAAGTCTTTTGCCCATTTTTTTAATTGGGTTGTTTGTCTTCCTGAAGTGGAGTCATGTGAGTTCTTTACATATTTTGGAGATCAAACCCTTGTCATCGGCAAATATGTTTTCCCATATAGTTGGTTCTCTTTTTCATTTTAATACTGTCTTCTTTAGCCATGCAGAAACTTTTTATTTTGGTGAGATCCCATGTGTTTATTGTTTCCTTTATGTCCCTTGCTTTAGGGGACATATCAGTGAAGATGTTGCTGTGTGGAATGTCTGAGATTTTCCTGCCTATGTTCTCCTCTAGGACTTTTATGGTGTCATGACTTGTATTTAAGTCTTTTGTCCACTTTGAATTTATTTTTGTGTATGGTATAAGTTGGTGATTGAGTTTCATTTTTTTGCATGTAGCTGTCCAGATCTCCCAACACCAGTTTTTGAAGAGGCTATTTTTACTCCATTTTATGCTTCTTCCCCCTTTAACAAATATTAATTGATCATAGAGACTTGAGTTTATTTCTGGGGTTTCCGTTCTGTTCCATTGGTCTATGTGCCTGTTTTTATGCCAGTACCAGGCTGTGTTGCTTACAGTTGCCTTGTAATACAGTTTGATGTCATGTATTATGATCCCTTCTACTTTGTTCTTCTTTCTCAAAATTGCTGCAGCTATTGGGGTTGTTTATGGTTCCATACAAATTTCTGAAATCTTTTTTCTGTATCTGTGAAATATATCATTGGTACTTTAATAGGTATTGCATTGAATCTATAAATCACTTTGGGTAGTATGACCATTTTGATGATGTTAATTCTTCTAATCTGTGAACGTGGCACATGCTTCCATTTGTTTGTGTCCTTCCTAATTTCTTTCTTCAGTGTTGTGTAGTTTTCTGAGTAAAGATCTTTTAGTAAGTAAAGATATTCCTTGGTTAGGTTTATTCCTAGATAGTTCATTTTTCTTGTTGCTATATCCAATGGGATGTTTTCCCTGGTTTCAGTTTCTGATATTTCATAGTTGATGTACAAAAATGCCTTTGATTTCTGAATACTGACTTTGTGTTCTACTGTTTTGCCAAATTCACTTATTAGGTGGAGTGGTTTTTTGGTGAAGTCTATAGGATTTTCTATGTATACTATCCTGTCATCTGCAAACATGACAGTTTTGCTTCCTCCTTTCCAATCTGGATGCCTTTTATTTCTTTTTCTTGCTTGATTGCTGTGGCTAGACTTCCAATACTATGTTGAATAGGAGTGGTGAAAGTGTTCATCCTTGTCTTGTTCCTGATCTTAGTGGGAAAGCTCTAAGTTTTGCTTATTGAGTATGATGTTGGCTGTAGGTCTCTCATATAGTCTCTCATATACGGCCTTTATTATGTTGAGGAATGCTCCCTCTATTCCCACTTTGCTAAGTGTTTTTATCATAAATGGGTACTGTACGTTATCAAATGCTTTTTCCACATCTATTGATATGATCATGTCATTTTTGCTTTTCATTTTGTTTATGTGATGTATTACGTTTATTGATTTGCGAATATTGTACCATCCTTACATCCCTGGGATAAATCCCACTTGATCATGGTATATGATCTTTTTAATGTATTGTTGGATGTGATTTGCCATTATTTTGTTGAGGATTTGGGTGCCTATGTTCATCAGCAATGTTGGCCTGAAGTTTTCTTTCTTTGTTGTGTCTTTATCTGGTTTTGGGATTAGGATAATGCTGCTTTATAAAAAGAGTTTGGGAGTCTTCCATCTTCTCGGATTTTTTTGAATAATCTGTGAAGGATAGGGGTTAGCTCATCCTAAATGCTTTGTAAAATTCTTCTGTGAAGCCATCTGGTCCAGGGCTTTTGTGTGTTGGGGGTTTTTTGATTACTGCTTCAATTTAATCAGCTGTTATTGGTCTGTTCAGGCTTTCTGCTTCTTCATGAAGTTTTGGAAGATTATATTTTTTTAGAAATTTGTCCATTTCAGCTAGGTTTTCAAATTTCTTCACATACAGTTCTTCATAGTCAATTCTTACAATACTTTGTATTTCTGTGGTATCAGCTGTAATCTCTTCTCTTTCATTTCTCATTGTGCTTCTTTGGGTCCTCTCTCTTTTTTCTTGATGAACCTGCTTAAAGGCTTATCGATTTTGTTTATCTTTTCAAAGAACCAGCTCCTGGATTCTGTGATCCTTAGAATTATGCTTTTAGTCTTTATGTCATTTAATTCTGCTCTTATCTTGGTCATTTCCTTCCTTCTATTTGCTCTGGGCTGTCTTTGTTGTTGTTCCTCAAGTTCTTGTAGGTGTAGGGTTAGGTTGTTTATTTATTTGAAATGTTTCTATCTTTTTTAGGTAGGCCTGTATTGCTATGAATTTCCCTCCCAGGACTGCCGCTGGTGTGTCTCACAAGTTTTGGATTGTTGTAAGTTCATTTTCACTTCTTTCCAGAAACTTTTTGATTTCTTCATCCATTCATTGTTTAATAGCATGCTATTCAATCTCCATGAATTTAAGCGTTTTGGGTTTTTTTTCCTTGAGGTTGGTTTCTAGTTTTAGTCCCTTGTGTTTGGAGAAAATGCTTGGTATGATTTCAATTTTCATGAATTTGTTGAGGCTTGTTTTGTGTCCTATCATGTGGTCTGTCTTTGAAAATGTTCTGTGTACATTTGAAAAAGTGTATTTTGTTTCTTTGGGATGAAAGACTCTCTATATGTATCAGTTAAGTCCATTTGATCTAGAGCATTGTTCAGTGTCACAATATTTGTTGATGTTTTGTTTGGCAGATCTATACATGTTTGACATTGGGATATTAAAATCCCCTACTATAATTGTGTTGCTGTCAATATCTCTCTTGAAGTCCTCCAAGATTTTCTTTATTTATTTGGGTGCTCCTGTGTTGGGTATGTATATATTTACAATGTTTATGTTTTCTTGGTGGATTCTTCCCTTGAGTATTATGAAGTGACCTTCTGGGTCTCTTTTTATGGCTCTTTTTTGAAGTTATTTTGTCTGAAATGAGTATTGCCATCTTGGCTTTTTTTTTTTACTGACCCTTTGCTTGGAATATTTGTTTCCAGCCCTTCACTTTCAGTCTGTGTAGATCTTTTGTTCTGAGGTGGGTCTCTTGTAGGCAGCATATGTGTGGGTCATGGTTTCTTATCCATTCAGCTATTCTATGTCTTTTGATGGGAGCATTTAATCCATTTATGTTTAAGGTTATTGTTGATAGGTACTTATTCATTGCCATTTTTTCATACCTGTGTTTCTCTCTCATTCTTTTTCTTAATGTTCTTAAAGGAGACCCTTTAGCATTTCTTGTAAAGCTGGTTTGGAGGAGGTGTATTCTTTCAGCCTTGTTTTGTCTGGGAAACTCCTTATTTTGCCTTCCCTTGTTAATTGAGAGCCTTTCTGGATACAGTAGTCTTGGTTGCAGGCCTTTGTTTTTCATTACTTGGAATATTTCTTGCCATTCTCTTCTGTACTGGAGCATTTCCATTGAGAAGTCAGCTGCTAACCTTATCAGGGCTCCCTTGTATGTTACTTCCTGTTTCTCCCTTGCTGCCTTCAAGATTCTCTCTTTGTCTTGGAATTTTGCCATTTTAATTATGATATGTCTTGAAGTGGGACTATTTGGGTTTCTCTTGATTGGGACTCTCTATGTTTCCTGGATTTGTGTGACTTTTTCTCTCATCAAATTAGGGAAGTTTTCCATCATTACTTTTTTTTTAAAGATTTTATTTATTTATTTTTAGAGAGGGAAGGGAGGGAGATAGAGAGAGAGAGAGAGAGAAACATCAATGTGTGGTTGCTGGGGGTTATGGCCTGCAACCCAGGCATGTACCCTGGCTGGGAATCAAACCTGAGACACTTTGGTTCACAGCCCGCGCTCAATCCACTGAGCTATGCCAGCCAGGGGCCATCATTACTTTTAAACACATTTTCTATGCCTTGCTCTTCTTCTTCTCCTACTGGTATCCCTATTATATGGATATTATTTTATTTCATGTTGTCCTGAATTTCCCTTAAACCCTCTTCATTCTTTCTGAGTCTCTTTTCCTTTTCTTGCTCTTTCTGGGTGTTTTTTTCTACCTTTTCCTCCAGCTCGGTGATCCAGTCCTCTGCTTCATCTAGCCTGCTTTTGATCCCTTCTACTGTGTTCTTCAATTCAGAAATTGTATTCTTCACTTTCTCTTGGCCCTTGTTGATAGTTTCTGTTTCCCTTTTCATGTTGATATTGTTTGCAGTGAGTTCATTGTAGTTTCCCTGTAGTTTCTGGAAATTCTCTGTGAGCTCATTGGGCTTCCTTATAAACATTGCTTTGAACTCAGTATCTGATAGTTGAGTTGCCTCTATTTCATTTAGCATTCTTTCTGAGGCTTCCTCCTTTCCTTTCATTTGGGGGTTGTTTCTTTGTCTTCCCATTTTTTGTGAGACTCTTCTTGTTAGCCTCTGCTTCTTAAATTGATCTGTTCTGACTCCTTGGGTTTATGGTGTGAACTTCCATGGTAGGAGACCTGTGAGATTCAGTAGTGAAGTCTCCTTTATCTCCTGAGCTTGCTGGTCTTGGGCTGTCATTTATGTTGGCTCTCTGTATTCTTCAGGTTTTGATTCCTGTTGGGTCTTTCTTTGGTGGGTGCTTCCCTCCAGCTGGTTAACTGAGGTTCACTTTGTGTCTTGTATTCTGTTGTGTGGGTGTGGACAGGTTGTGCTGAAGCTCGTTCTTCTGTTTGTGTGAGGTTTTGAGGCTTCTCTCTTGCTATTGTTCAGTTGTGTGTTCTGGGTAATTTCTGTACCATTTAGTTGTAATTCCAGATCGGTCCAGGGTGGAGGTTAGTGTGACTTCCACTTACTCCTTCACCTTCTTCCGTTATTATCTGTTGGTGGTTCCTTTGTTGGTGGGTTTCCTGTTGCAGCAGGTATACTGGTATTCACAGCTCCCACCTACTCTTTTATGTGATCAGTTGGAGGGGGAAGGCAAAATGGATTAAGACAGTGGGAATGTGTTCTGTAGTATTTAAAGTACTGACCCGTAGAGAAGAGATAGGAGATCCTTTGGCTATGTATAGTGTTAACAGTGATATTTCACCCAATTAGCCACTTTTTAGAAAGGGTAGAAAAAGATAAGACTCATGTTGGGTGGGCAGTGCGGGGGAGGACTGTGAGTTGCATCTAGAAAGCAGTGAGCTTGAGGGGGGTCAGATTATGAGATACAGTGAGTAACGGATAGAAAATAGGTGTAGTGTGCGAGAGAGTAGAATTAACCACAACAGTGATAAAGTTGCACAAACAGTGAAGGGAGCTGAGATCTCGGAGGGGTGCTGTGTAGTATTTTCAGTTGTATTGAAGAGCAATTAGTTTCAATTGTAATGGAGTAACAATCACATGACATTATCTATATGATCTGAGTAACAAGAGTGGGAAGTACACAACCTAGAGTAGTATGCTATTGGAATACAAGTGAAGTGAAAGAAGGAAAATTAAAAATACAGTATGAAAGAGAGAACAAGGAAAACCCGTCAAACAATGCAATTTAACATCTAAGCGAAGACTAAGCAGAAAGAGAAATAAAAAAATACTAATAAAATAAAAGATGTAAAAATAATGAAAAAAATAATACATATATACAAAAACTTGCCAGTTCTCTGGAATAGCAAAGTGAAATTTGTCTCACTGTCTCAGTTGTTGGGATGACCTGTCTTTGGATCTAACTCTGGTCTTTTCACAGCTCCGGGTTTTATTGTCCCACTTGTAGGAATTAAAAAAAAAAAAAAAGAAGAAGAAGAAGAAGGAGTAAAAAAAAAAGAGAAAGAAGAAAAGAAAGAAAGAAGGAATTTAAAAAAAAAAGAAGCCTCCTACTGGCTTAATACAAGCCAAGCCAGTTCTGCCAAGCCAGTTCTGCTGGTCTTCCTGGCTACAGCAGGGTGAGGGGGTATTGGTTTTGTTTTTCTCCCTTCCTGTGTTTTTTAGGGGATGGGGGTCAGTTCGGAACTGCACTGGTAGTTATTCAGCCTCCAGTCCAGTTCTTCAGTTTGCTGGTTGGCCTGCACTGTGCCCTTCTTTGCCCAGCTTACACTTTCAGTCCACCAGTTGAGACTCTCAAAGTCTCTCCTGGATAGTTTGGCTTCCCACTGAGTTAAGTCTTTCTGGGGATTGCTGACTCTCTGAGCCCTGCTGCTGTCCTCTGTGCGAGCATCTCTGCCTTCCTCTTAGCAAGCCAGTGGGCCCCTGTGGGGGCGCTGCAGTGGCTGCCCCGGCTGACGCAGGTGGGCCTCTGCTGCTGCGACTAAGCAATGGGTTTGGGCGCACAGTGCCTCTTGCGGAGGGGTCAGGTGCCCGCTCCGCCCCCTGAGCTGTGGGCGTGATCTCTGGGCCTCTGCTGCTGGGGCAGGGTGGGCAGCTGCTGAGCTGCAGGATTGGGCACACTCTGTCCTTGGGGCTTCCGGTGTGAGCTGCAGCAGCAGTTGGGGTGGTGGGGTCTGGGGTGTTCCATCCTGGGGTCTGCTGCTGTGAGTGCTCAGCCTCCACTGCTGGGGCGGGAGCACAGTCGCAGGGCGGTGGTGTCCGGCTTGCACTGGCTTCTGCTGCTGCAGTGACAGCCGTAGTGGCGTGAGGGGCGGCTGGGTCCGTCGTGCACCACTGGGTTCATGGGTGTGGTTGGGTGCCCTGCATCGCTGTGGGTGGGGTAGGGGTGCAGCCGAGGTCATGGCAGCAGAGGTGGGCCCATGCTGAGGCTGTGGAGGCTGCTGGAGCCAGGGGTAGCAGGGGTGACTGCTGTGGGAGAATTCCCTAAACAGCCACCAAATGCCTCTTTTTTTCTTTTTCAAAATTTCCTCCTATTCAAGTCTGCCTTCCAAACCAGTGCCTGGCTTCTCGCACAGCCCAACTCTCCAAGCAGCCTGAGGACTATCCAGGTCAGGGTCTGTTATGGCTCAACTCTTCTCAGTTGGCCTCCACAGTCTAAGTGGGTGCACACTGCCCCTGTGTGTTTGCCACTTCATCCTTATTCCCCCCAGCAACTTCAAGCATCCAGGTCCATCCTGGTGCTGCTGAAACCTCCTTGTTTGGCAGGGGAGGAAGCCATTGACCTGGCTCTCTCCTGAGAATCCTGTGGTAGACCGAGCAGGTGCTGGGCCTGGGGCTGCAGCTTCTCTGGTCCCCATTCTGGTCCCAGGGACCTTATTGTCCCAAAGCACTCTTCTTACTGTCTGATTTTTCAATGTCCTCTACAGTTTTGGCTTCCAATCTTCATATATGCTGAGATATCATTGGCTGTTCACTCTGTCCCTCTGTTCTGAAGATCGTCTAGGTGTTCCACCCATGTACAAGGGGAAGTGGACTCTGCTCCCACTGATCTCGTGGCCTTCTTCACACCTTCCATTTTAAAAGAAATCCTTCCAGGATATGGTAGTCTTGGTTGCAGGT